ATGGAGCCTTATGGGGCATTTGGAGTAGACAAGACATTGACCATGGTTAAAGAGCATTTCTACTGGCCCCATCTTAAGAAGGCAGTTGAAGCACATTGCGCTAGATGTGATGTTTGCAAGAGAGCCAAGTCTAAAGTACATCCCCAAGCTCCTTACATGCCCCTACTGATCCTCACTGTCCCATGGGTAGATACATCTATGGATTTTGTCTTAGGACTATCAAAGATCCAACATGAAGACTCCATATTCGTCGTCGTAGACCGGTTCTCTAAGATGGTGCACTTCATTCCATGTGCCACAATGAATGGTGCTTCTCAAACGGCCGAGCTATTCTTTAGAGAAGTAGTATGTTTACATGGGATACCAAGAACCATAGTGTCGGATCGAGACAGCAAGTTCTTGAGTCATTTCTGGAGGAACTTATGGAAGAAACTAGGAACGAAGCTTCTATTTTCCACCACATGTCATCCCCAAACCAATGGTCAAACAGAGGTGGTCAACAGATCATTGTCAGCATTACTTAGAGCTACCATCGGCAAGAAGTTGAAGAATTAGGTGGAATGCTTACCGTTCATCGAGTTTTCTTACAACCAAGCTTAACACTCAGCTACAAAGATGTCCCCGTTCGAGATTGTATATGGATTCAACCCCACAACTCCACTAGATTTGACTCCTTTACCACCAGCTGAAGTCGTAAATTTAAATGTAGAAAGAAAGGCAGAGTTCATTAAGAAACTTCACAAGAAGGCTAGAGAAAATTTGAAGAAGAGGACCGAACAATATGTCAAACATGCTAACTAAGGGCGTAAAGAAGTCATCTTCGAACCAGGGGATTGGGTTTGGCTACATATGAGGCAAGAACGGTTTCCAAGTCAGAGAAGCTCCAAACTAACATTAAGAGGAAACGACCCTTTCAAGATATTGGAGAAGATCAACAACAATGCCTACAAACTAGAACTACCAAGTGAGTTTACTGTCTCTTTTATATTCAACGTCTCTGATATCACTCCTTACCTTGCAGATAATCAAGTTTTGAGGTCAAAACCTCTACAAGAAGGAGGGAATGATGAGGTCCTTGAAGCTGAGCAAGACTTAACCGAACCACAACTACAAGATACTTAAGAAGTAGAGTTTCCAGTTGAACTTAAAATAGCTATGATAAGACAAAGAGTTAGAGCCCTTCAAGACAAATATGATCGAGCTCTCCTTCAAGTCGTTCAAAACATACAAGAGGAGCTACTAGACAAGCATTGGACTGGGCTATGCGAGGACATTCAAGGATCTAATAAAATGAATAAATACGAAGTATGACCCATACTACCAAGACAAAACCAAGTTAAAATACTTACAATCCCACAAGAGGAGCATATCACACACGGCCAAGATAAAGTCATTATGGGAGCTATTATTAACGCCAATCACTCTACACGCCAGTGGTAAGAAAGGTAAGCATTTAAGACATTTAATTAAAACTTATAAGAAATCCCATCATTTTCTCCTTGTGATTTTCAATAGTTTTAATTTCTAGATTTTTACATTGAATGCACTTTGTATTTTCTTCGATTTTTTTGCACTTCTGTATTTTTATTTCTTAAGTCCTAAAGCTGAAGAACCGCTTTATAAGGTTTCCCTGCAGCATTGTACTCAAATACTTTTGATTTTATTAATAAAAACAGGCAGTTATTCTTCCTTAAGATTTCAGGCAAAATCTTGTTCTTTCTATAAACTTTGCCGAGACCAGTCCTCCACTGTTTGAGAAACCCCTTTGTGTTTTATCAACGGCCTTATATAGCCTTTGTGGTACACCTCACTCCATCTCCTCAACGTTCATCAATCCCCCGGTTCAATATCCTCGAGTTTCTCGGCTAATTCACCAAACATCGCTTCTATTCCAAGTTGTCTCCGGTTTGTTTAGATTCGAGTTTCTCATATAAACCGACAAAGCCTTGAAGAAAGATCACCGGTTCTTATACTGGTGTGCAACAAGTCGAGTGAGAGGCTCGTGCTTGTATCAAGTTTATTAAAAAAAGGGGGAAAATCATTATTGAGGACAAAACTATTTAAAGACGGAGAGAATGAAACAATATAAAAAATCAGTGAACCAAATGTCTTCAATATTAAAATTTCATGGTCATAATTTCAAAAATTCAAAAGATTCTCATTTAATGTCCAGGGCAAAATTAGTGGCAAGAAGACTATTATTTGATTTAGCTGATTTTTATCTTTTTGTTTAAATAAAAATAATTTAATTTAAATATAAATTATTGTAAAATTTATTTGTAAGAGCTATAAGATCTCATCTATTCGCATTGTAAAACATATAGAAAATTTTGGAAATATGAAAGAGAGTTTTTTTTAAAAAAAAAGTTTAGGCTTTGTTACTTTGTTATTTTGAATACAAGTGTGTGATTAATTTATATTCTTTAGAAGCCATAAATTTAGATTGTTTGTGTGATTTAGACAAACTAGTTCGTCCACTGACTGAGTGAGCCAGTCATCCCAATAATTGAGTGAGTCAATTGTCTATTCCCCACTCTATCTTTATCATCTTTCACCATTTCCACACAAACATGGCAACTTTGATAACTATTTGTTATTAACATCTTATGATTGATTCCCAATCTTATATCATTTGGTATCAGAGCTAAAAGCTCTTATCCTCTATCTTTTTAATTTCTGTTTTGTTTTTTATTTATGTTTTATCAAAATTTTCATTAAAAAGAAGAAAAAAAAGTTATGGTTGTTTTTGTTTTTTTATAAAATAAAAAACTAAGTAGCTTTATGTTTTTTTGCTTGTTTTTTGATTCATAATTTAATTTTAAAAATAAACCATAAAACTGTTTTCTTTATTTTGTATTCCTTTTGTTAAAATAATAAAAATTTAAAGTATGTTTCTATTACTAAAAAAACAAAATTTGCTTACCATTTATTTATAATTTTTATTTTATAAAAGCTCATATATTTTCATTGTAAAATATATAGAAGTTTTTCAGAATATGGAAGAGAGTTTTTTTTTTCTAAAAGCTTAGGCTTTTTACTTTGTTCTTCTGAATATAAGTGTGTGATTCACTTATATTCTTTGGAAGCCACAAATTTAGATTGTTTATGTGATTCAGACAAACTAGTTCGTCCACTGACTGAGTGAGTCAGTCATCCAATGATTGAAAGAGTCAATCGCCCATTCCCCACTTCATCTCTATCATCTTTCACCATTTTCGCACAAGCTTGGAAACTTTGACCACTGTTTGTTATTAAGATATGAGGAGCGATTCCTAATCTTATATTTGAGTGGGGTGGGGGAGCGTGGGAGTGGATCTCTGCAAATTGGATCTTTCAAATACTTGTTTTGGTCTCGGTTTTTAGTCAGGGTAATACCCGATACCCAAAATTCAAAGACAAACACTCCTGATCGGATATTATAAAGAATCAGAACTGGCTCAGATCGGATATTTTGGATCAGATCCGTATCAGATTTTTGGATCCAGGTAAAATGCCCACCCCTAGTTTGTTGCTTAAAATTCACAAAATGGATTAGTTGTTATATTATGAAGTGAAATCCTTAGGACTACTGTGTGAAAAGTAAAGAGAAAACCCACACACTCGCACTAAACTAAGTCATGATGGATTTGGGCTCGGGTTTGGATTTATGTAAATGAGTCACATGCCTATCAACATATTTGTTTGCATTCAGTTTTTAATTTTGTAATTGATCACTACATATATTTTTAACTAGTCAAATGCAATAAACTCTCCATTTCAGTTCTGTCATTAAGTTGATGGTTAATACCATGATTATTACAGCAGTATAAAATCTCCATTATATCAAAAACATTATGGTTGAATGTTTTAAATATAAATATAAAAAGTCTTAATTCTCATGGAAACACACATACAATCCTTCACTTTTTCCTATTTTTTATTACCTTTGGTTTTTTCACCATGAGAGTATAACACATAAAGAAGGTTTGAAAGCATATAATTTTAGGGTGATGTGAATCATAAAAATAATGCAGCTGTATTTTTGGATATGGAACACCATGCAACCATCACACTACGGGCATTTACAGAATTAAGTAAAGAGATCACAATGTCTCGACCCTACAATCCGGTTTCCTAAATTCTTGTTTAATCGTATTATTTTATATTATGCTTATCGATTTATTTTCTATAATATCTTCATAAATTATTAATCTGTCCAATTGTTGTAATTGCGTTTCTATAATCTTAATTCTGTAAGTTTTTGTTTATGTTTATTGCACTAACAAAAACTAATGATTTTGTGAAGAATTTTAATTTTAGGACAAGAATCTGAATCTTCGATCTGTTTCCGATCAAATTATTTTAATCAGTTTCAGGTTCAATTAGTTCTTAAAGTTTTGTTTATCCAACAAAAATTCAGAAAAAATATCTTTCTATTTATTCATTTATAGTTTCTTAAGTTTTTTTTGGTCAACAACCTCTTCTCTTAGAACGGTTCAGAAAACCAAACCGGTGGACTTGGATTTACATAATGTAAAGTATAAAAGTAGTTGTGGGCAATCTGTGCCAACTTGTCCGCTTTTGTGTTTTGAGCGCGTAGGTTGTGCGAGATCGAGAAGGAAGTAAATACATTCTTGCTGGTCTCAAATTCCTCCAAGCGTAGAGCGAAGGCCGGCCATTCCTCAGGTTTGGACACCATCTTCACCAAAGCCATCACTAGTCTTCGAACATCGAGCATACAATGCATCGCCCATATTAATTCTTCTAGTTCTATGTGTAGTGGGAAAATGCTCCGTGCATTCTCTGCCCTCCATCACCGTAGTTTTACGGGTTAAACCTGGACAATACCATCCTAACCCAGCATTACCCACTCTCACCTTCCATGATCTATCTGTTTGACATGTTAATCCATCAAAAACCATCGTTGCCGCGCGTAGACCATCTAAATAGACACCCTGGTTATTTAGGCTGTCACCCTTAACATCATCTTGTTGAGCTACCAACTCTTGAAATCGTTTTTTCTAAAAGAAGATCAATCTCTTGATTTTGCTGCTCGTAAAATCATGATGAGTGAACTTCCTCAGCTTCTTATTTTCAGTATTATAGACCCTTTGCACAATAAAGCCATGGTTTGGGACTTGCTTTTTCTCTAGCACAAAATACACAGCGCAATCATCCTTCACAGATTCTGCAAACACTTCATCGCGATGGAAACTGTAGAAGATGTCTCTTGAGTCTTTGGATTTCCAGTTTCTAACATATTTTTTATCCATATCTTCTAGACGATAAAACCGCTGGACTTCGAGTTTCACGTATCCTTCCTTTTTGTTTTTGAATTACTAGGAGGTTATGGGCCAAAGTCCGTAATCCCCCCAGGTCGATCCTGTGACCTCTAAACTTTGCCTAGGGTCCCTTTACCAGTCAAGCTAGCAACACTTGGTCATGTATCCTTCCTTACCTTGTACATTAATATCCTGTCGAAAAATAGTTTGATTTTGATAATCAAAAGCTGAAAATAATGTAAAACGTTTTTTCTTCTACAATTTTACCTTTATGATTGCAACATAGGGGTTTTTTGATGCATCCTCTAGAAATAATAGCACTGAATCCTCCTATAGCATAATAAAATATAATATAACTTTAATGTAAATAGCCATAGTAATACTCCAGAAACAATTAAATTCCTAAAAAGAAAGTTTTGGTTTATTGCGTCATTTTAAAATTTCTCACAATATTAATGTACTAGTGAAGTCTTGTATGTGGCACAAGCTATCTATCATATATAAACAGTCATATAAATTAAAGATTACGGATTATTTTTTATTGTTATATATTGTAGTATAACTGGTAACTAATAAAAAACATTTCATGTCAAAAATTATAGACAATAATTTCTCTATTATTATATATTTTTTGTGTTTTGTTTATTTCATTTTGTATTTGAAAACAAGTTATAAAAACTAAAAAAAAATATAATATATAGCCAAAACATTGAAATTAGTATCATCTTAAAACAAAACAAAACTTACCAGTCCATATTTTCCACCACGAAATTTAAATCTCTCGTAGTGACATTTCTTATTTCCTTGTTCATTAGTAATCTTAATCACTTTGTCAATCGGGCATGCACAATGCTCTGGTCTCTACTCTAACTCATTTTCCTTGATTATTGATGATTCTTCAGCATTTTCCTTCTTTTTTTTTTCTTTGCTTCATCTACATTTCTTTGGTACTCAAATTCACAACTTCTAACCTTGACAATTGAATCTTTATTAATAAACACTTGATTCAATTGCTTACTCAACATTATTTTTATTAAGAATGATTAGAAAAAATAATAACAAATGTTAACATCAATCCAATAACATAATATTATATCATAAATATTTAATTAAACGAACTATAGTTTGTGAATGATAGGATAACTTGATATACCGATATAACTTATTTTAAAATTTATATATAGCATTACAGTAAACTTGACACTAATTATTTTATATTTTACTAAAATATAAAAGATTTTATGTTCCACCATGAGGTTGTAGACAAATAAAATAAACTTTCAAATTTAAAAGTATGCAAAGAAAGTCTGAAAAAAAAGATATTAAAATAAGCTAATGTTCAAGTTATTATTAATCATTCAGAAAATGTTCAGATTACATTTGTAAGATAAGCTAATGCAAAAGATTCTTTATTGGTGGTTTGTAACTCTACGATATTTTACATATTGCTGTTTATATATTATAATCAAACAAAATGTAAAGTTCAATCATCAAATATCAATATAGGATCTCACACATTCATAACTCTATTATCAATTTCCAAAGTCAATAATATTTCATGTTTTAGAATGTGCTATTTACCAAATCTTAGATATTAAGAACAGTTTAAGCACACACCTAAATAAAAACAAAAATAATAATCTATCTAATCTTGAACGATGAACAATGATTTCAAAGTCTTATTTTCCTTCTGATTGTCATGAAGACCACCAACTTTTGAAAGTGTTCTTCCCAGAAGAAGATCTGGTGCATTAACTGCAATAATGCTTTCAGGTTTTGTGCTCTCAACTTTCTTAATGATCCTTTACGGAACTGATTGCATACGTTTTGACATAAAGTGTTTTTTTTCTTCTGAATGTCTGAAAGATCACCGACTTTTGATATCAACTTTTCCAAGCAAATCAACCTTATGTTTTTGTTGCTCGTTGAAATCTGTAAGAGGGAACTCTCTCTGCTTCTTATTTTCTATATTATAAACTCTTTGCATAACAAAGTTATGTTTTGTGGCTTGTTTATTCTCTTGCAAAAAATACACAATAGAAACATGTTTCACAGATTCAGCAACAACTTCATCGCGATGGAAACTGTAGAAGATATCTCTTGAATATTTGGATTTCCAGTTTTTAACATATTTTTTTATCCATATCTTATGGATGATAAAGCCATTGGACTTCCCTATTCCTCGCCGCCGAAGGGACAACGAGACATTTTGTTCCCGTCAACTTCACTCCGATCTGGTCTAGTGTTGTATAATGGTGGGCTTGGCAATCACTATGGCTATAACGAGCCTTGGCCTGAATCTTCATGCAAAAAATTTGCTCGATTATGTGCTATTATTTTCCTCCTCATGAGAGAGAATTTGGTTAGCCCCTATTGTCTCCAAGAGAGACGGTTTCCCTCCAGTTTCATCACTGCGAAATCTTTGCAATCTTCTCAGCGATTTGCTTTCTTACGTAGCGGTGTGTAAGGAGCCAGAAAAAGCATCCATATTAGTTTCTACAAGATTTGGAGGTAGGAGTTGTCTGTCAAATCACAATTTCATGTAACTATTGGTTACCCATCCGAATTTGTCGAAAAATCTTTAGAGATGCATCTGAGCTTTGGTTTGGATTCATTGTCAATCTTTTCTGACGAATCATCTGGTGATCTATCTGTCTTTTGCTTTCTGTCGTGTAGTGTTTTAGGAAGATCATTACTTTTCTCATATTGTAGTTCGAAAATTTACTTTTAGTGAAGCAATCGTTTGAGATAAAAAAAAAAACAACATTGGACTGCTAATTTCACATATTCTTCCATACTTTCTACCTAAATATTATATCCAAAATAATTTGATAATAATAATCAAAAACTGAAAATCATATCAAAATATTTTCTTTCTATATTTTTACTTTTATGATCTCAACATAGTGCTTTTGCGATAAATTTTCGATAATCAATAGCAGATTTTAATGTAAATATTCGTATAGTAATAACATGGAAATAATATAAAAAGTACTGTTTTGATTTAGGGATGTAAAATACCCTAAAATCCCTAAACGATATTAATATTAGAGCTGATTTTACCACAACAAAACAGGAAGTGCCACATCAACCGAGGAACCTGCCTAACAATTAGCTTATGCACCAACTCCCTAGAAGATTTCATCATTGGGTGGAGCGGGTGCCGTAAGCAGAGAGGTAGTCCGGCGGAGAAAGCCTCCCTATATTTCACGATGACGTGACTGATCAATAGGATTGGTGTAGGCAGTTAGAAGAGAAGCAAAATGAGTATAGATAGAACTAGAAGTCTCATAAGAGGTGAGGCTGACGAAACTAAAAAGAGTAGAAGACCTACATACTCATGGGGCAGACCTGGGGACGAACCGGAGATCCCACTGCTATCTTCCTCACGAAGGCCACCAATTATGACAATTTCTACTAGCACAACCAAACAGCTGTATCTTATGGAGATGTATTTCCTAGTCACTTGACAAGAGAATTCCAGCGAAGGTAAAAAACTACTCACTCTGCACTGTACTTGGCAAGAGAGTCTCTCAACCTCATCTCGTGGTGGCTTATGGTCTTCCGTGTCACTACCAGACATGAGATGAACATTATGATCTATAAACATGATGTTCCACCCTAAACCTCAAAAAACCCACCCTCATGAGTACCTGCAACTAGTGGGACGTATCTAACTTGAGCGCTAGAGAACCTTCCTTGATGTTTAGATTGATTTTTCTACAGGTTATGAAACGACACAAATGAAACGTGACTTTCCTTTATTGATAATTCGGTTAAACTAGACATTTTTTTATATGAAAATATTATAAAACTATTTTTTAAAACAAAATAGTCTATATAAAAATATAGTTTTCAAAAGTTTTAGGTCTCTCAAAACATATTAATATAATAAATTACTTCATTCAAGAAAAATGGCTGATATTGTTTTTTGAGTTCATAATTCAATTGTTTCCAACAATAGTTTAGAAATACAAAAAGCTCAATAAAAGAAATGTTAGATAAAATGTGATATGCATCATATTTTGAAAGAGAAAGATTTAGGAAAACTCCCCTCTACAAAATTAAGATAAGCTAAAATTATAATGGTATCACTATAGTTTTGATATCTTCTTAAAAACATTTAGTAAAACTCCAATGCATAAAAGTTTGGAGGTGGATGGGTCATCTATCTTCGATATTGATGCTTTGATGACAATCAATACTACAACAACTGTGAGATCATTCTGAGCCAAAAACAAACAAAAATATCATTAGTCACTTTAGCATGAAAAATAACCTTATATTTAACAAAGAAAATAAAATATTTTTTAGCTAATAAACATTAGGATTCTGGTTTAATATTTTTTGCACTAATTAGATGTATAAGGTATTAGGTGTCACAATGATATTGTAGAGAAACGAAATAAACTTTGATATTGAAAAGTATACAAAGAAAGTATAAAAATAAAAGGTATTAAAGCAAAATTATGTTTAGGTTTTAATTCATCAGTCAAAATGCTTAGCTAATATTAGTGAGCTATACGATTAAACAATTAGAAATCATTGTAAATGATCAACAATACTTGATAGAATATTTCTACATCTAAACTAAATTTTAGTTTGCTACTTGTTTAAAGGATAAAAAATTCCTAAAAAAATGATACAATACTTTGCCAAATTGTATGAGTTTATGAAAACCTAAATAACAGCAAATTCTTAATATTTCCCTAAATAACAATGTAATAGATTTTTTATGGTAGAATTCGACTTTATAGTACTTAATATATAATAGATTCCATATTATACTCAAACATAATGTAAAATTGAATTATCAAAGAAAAATGTTGGATCTCACACATACATAACTTTTTATCAATTGCTAAGCCAACAATATTTTATATTTTAAAATGTCAAATTTACCAAATCATAGATATTCAAAAGTGTATGTACATACCAAATTAAATACCAAAAAATGATGAAGAAAAAAAAAATAATTTGACTAACCTTGAATGATGAACCTTTCCGGAGTAGATTGTTTACGCCTTGATTTTAATATTTTTTTTTCCTTCTGATTGTCAGGAAGATCACCAACTCTCAAAAGTGAACTTCCTCAGCTTCTTATTTTCAGTATTATAAACCCTTTGCACAATAAAGCCATGGTTTGGGACTTGCTTATTATCTGGCACAAAATACACAGAAGAATCATCTTTCACAGATTCTGCAAACACTTCATCGCGATGGAAACGGTAGAAGATGTCTTTTGAGTCTTTGGATTTCCAGTTTCTAACATATTTTTTATCCACATCTTCTAGATGATAAAACCAATGGACTTTTAGTTTCACGTATCCTTTCTTACCTTGTACATAAATATCCTGTCAAAAAATAGTTTAATTATAATAATCAGAAGCTGAAAATAATGTAAAAGGTTTTTTCTTCTACAATTTTACCTTTATGATTGCAACATAAAGTTTTTTTGATGCGTCTTCTGAAAATAATATCACTGAGCCCTCCTATAGCATAATAAAAAATAAAAATAACTTTAATGTAAATAGTCATAGTAATACTCTAGAAGCAATTAAATTCCTAAAAATAAATTTTTGGTTTATTACGTCATTTTGAAAATTTTCAAAATATTAATATACTAGTGAAGCCTTGTGTGTGGTACAGGCTATCTAAGATATCATATATAAACAGTCATATAAATTAAAGGTTATAGATTATTTTTTATTGTTATATATTGTAGTATAGCTGGTAACTAATAATGTTTTTTTCATGTCTAAAATTATAGACAATAATTTCTCTATTATTATATACTAAATTTTTATCTGCGCGTTGTGCAGACTTATTTATTAATTTAATTAAAATTTGTCTATTTATATTACTATCATATATATATTAAATTAATATTATTGTGTGTTATATTTATCTTTTATTTCTTAAATGTTTTTGTTATCCTAATAAATATAGATTGTGATGTATTAATTGTTAAATAAATATTTTATATATTTATACACTGCAATAAATATTGTTCTTATTGTTTATTTATATTCAATTGATTTCTCATCTTTTTTTACATCTTATTTTTATTGATTGCATATCAATTTTATATTACCATCACTAAGACAAGATGGATGATAAGTTTATGCCACTTTTTACCACCTTTGTATAAATTAAATTCATTTCTATGCTATATAATTAAATACTTTATTTATGAAAAACTTTCATTTATTTTATACAAGAAAGTGGATATGAATGATTTTACTTTAGTTTTAAGCATTAATATTTCAGAGCCTTTTGAAATAAGTTTGATAACTATTCTTAGCAAGTTCTTCTGTCATGTTTCGTAATTGTTCATTTTCTGACTCTTTTTCAAATTATGTTTGTTTATAGTCAAAATAGCATTTTGATTTTTTTTATTTCAAAGAGAATTTATAGTTTTTTATAGTTTGTAAAATAAGTATTTATTTTATATATATGGTTTTATTTTAGCTTTTTATAAAGTTTGATAATTATTTTATGTAAGTTTTTCCGTAATCTTTTGTATTTGGTTGCTTTCCAAACTCTTTTTCACAAATTAAGAATTTGTAATTTTTATGATTTGTAAAATAAGTGTTTATTTTAATTTTAAACTAATCATATTAAAAGCCCAAAAATAAATACCCAAAATATTTAAAAGCCTATTCTAAAATAAAAAATATGCTGATGTGGGCATCTTAGATGGAGAGATAACTTGTTCATTATATATATAATTTTTGTGTTTTGTTTATTTTATTTTATATTTGGAAACAAGTTATATAAACTAAACAAAATTATAATATATAGCCAAAACATTGAAATTAATATCATCTTAAAACAAAACAAAACTTATCAGTCCATATTTTCTACCACGAAATTTAAATCTCTCGTAATGACATTTCTCATTTCCTTGCTTATTAGTAATTTTAATCACTTTGCCAATCGGACGTGCGGAATGCTCTGGTCCCCACTGTAACTCATTTTCCTTGATTCTTGATGATTCTTCAGCATTTTCCTTCTTTTGTTTTCTGTGCTTCATCTCCATTTGTTTGGTACTCAACTTCACAATTTCTAACCTTGACAACTTCACACCTTCACAATTGAATCATATATATGAACATGTGACACGTCAGCATAGGAAAGCAGGACATCTGTCCTGTCTTTTTAATTAAAATTCACACTTTTTTCAAAATTGATAGAACTCTACTACTGCCGAGCAAAAGGCGATTAGGTTCCCTCGCCGCTGACTAGAATTCCCGTCCTTCTCCCTCCTCTTCATTTCTTCTTCCATGGCAACCCTCGATCCTTCTGTCTTCCCCGACCCCAGATCCGAAATTGACAGGTCCACATTGTTAGAGAGGAAATGAGCACATTTCCTAAAAGGTTTTCTCTAGCAGTAACCTAATCTCATCAAGATTAAGAGGATTGCGCCGACCTAGCTCAGATAAAAGGAAAACTCTTAAGGATAACCTTCGAGGCCCGGAAACATCGGATCAACTCGAGGGATAAAGGAGAATTTCCATATTCTTCAGAGAATAACGGATATTTCCGTATCGCGAATATGGAAATATTCACCAAAGGCAAAAAAGAAAAGGAGTTCGGAGCAGCCGACCTCCTATCCCTATAAATAAGAAGACCCCGACGCCAAGGAAAACAACTCATACAATCTAGAGAGCAGCAGAGCTAAAACCAGATACTCCAACGCTTTCTAGTTTACCTAACAACCATCTTATTTCACCTCAGCATAACCTCTCGGTTATCCCATTCTTTGTAATTGCTTCATTTGTTGCTATTAATAAAAGATCTTATTCTCCGAAATCTACAACTGTTAATCAAAACCCTAATGGTGATTTTCTGGTTCAACAGTTGGCGCCGTCTGTGGGGACTAAGAGAATATAATTCTTAAAAAACTAGCAAAAAACCGAAGCGATGAGTCTCCCAATCGATAACAGCGACCTCATGCGCAACAACGACGATACCACCACACATATTGAGACATCTGGTCTCGACGAGCACGACAACCCTACCAACGCGAATCCACCCACGGGAGCACCCCCAGCTCCTATCACCTCCACCGACCTTGCTGTAGCAATCCAAGCTGCCTTGCTTCCCCTCACCCAAAACCTGGTGTCCAAGCTAGACACCCTTCAGGCCCAGCAAGCCAAATATGATGAACAGCTCAACGCCTTCGCGGCCACAACCACCGCAAGATCAGAACCGACTGGACAACGATTAATCTTCGAAACACCAGAGCAAGACAACACTCGGGGTACGACACCAGCTACCGAAGAGCCACCAGACAAATTAAATTCTGAGATCGCAAGGTTGCATCAGTGAATTAACGCAATCGGATCTCAAGTCCACCGCGCCACCAGCTCCGCACCCGAGATTTCGGCCATACTATCATACACCGAACGCATTCCGTTCGCCCCACGGATCACCGACGTACGGCTTGGCAAGGCGATCAAACTGAAGCTCCCATACTACAACGAGATGGAAGACCCCAACCTATGGCTGATCGGATTCAACGTCGCCATGAAGAGGGAAAATTGATGTTGGTGGCGATCGATCCCAGAACAAAAATTCTTACTCATGCAGTTCCAACTCTAGGGACTCGCGCCGAAGTACCTCCGGCAAGGATCGCCGAGATCCAGGGAAAAGCAGTAGCCACAATAGTTCCGGAGGAAGGTGCCGAAGTCGTTCGCCTGAGAAGAAGCGCGAAGAAAAAGAAAAGGATAAAGGAGCAGAGCACCGAAACGATGAAGGCGAGCATGACAATCCACCCCCTCCGCCAAAACGACGGGTAAACATGCTCATGAGAGGACTCCCCGACTGCGACGGTTCGGTTCGCACCATCAAAGAATATGGCCGCAAAGCGATCACTTCGCAAAAGTTCCCTCGCCCGGTGGACTACCACCCAACAATCACATTCACGTCGAAAGACATGCACGGATTATATACCCCGCACAACGACCCACTAGTGGTCGAGCTGCACATCCATGATTGTGAGGTGGCTAAAATATTAGTGGATACCGGCAGCACTGTCAATATCATCTTTAAAGATACATTGACCAAGATGGGACTACAGGAAAAAGACATCAAAGCAGCACTAAAACCTTTAACTGTCTTTGCCAGCGAGTCCTTCTTCAGCCTCGGGACCATACGACTCACAGTCTACGTCGGCGGAGTGACAAAAATTTTCAAATTTACTGTCATGGATAAACTGGCAATCTACAATGCCATACTTGGCACACCTATAATCCACAAGATGAAAGCTACCGTGTCGACCTATCATCAATGCATAAAGTTTGCTACTTCGGCCGGAGTTTTCACGTTTCACGGCAATCAGCAGATGGCAAGATCTTGCTTTATTAGCGAACGAAAAGTGCGATTCTCCGTGGCAAAAGCCCTTGAAGACGCTAAATAAGCGAAGAAGATTCAACAACGAATCTAGCAATATCAATACTTAGTTTTTCTTTTTTTAATAAAAGCGGGCTTGGCCCTTGAGTGATACTACTCATTCAATAATTATAATGAACTACGAACGGCTTGATCCCAACTTGGGTATGTAGGTAGGATGCAGCTGTAAATTCAATAAATTTTTATTTCAGAAAATCAGCTCGGCGTGCAGAGTCATATTTACTTATGCGAATGCATTTTGCTGAATCGATGTTCTATCCAAACATTTGATTCAAAAAAGCAAAACAAATAAAAAAACAGTGGCTGATCACCACTCCTTTGATACTTCGGTTTGATTTAATTACTTCCAAAGTGGATAAGAAGAAAGCCGAGGACAATACTCGCACGACCCTCGATCATACATTTCAGGCCGAAGTGAATCCTGAAAAACTTGGTATTCGATCTTAATCGTCGTTTAGTATAAGACGGGCAAATGAATCCCGCTTCCAGCTCCGAACTAAAAAGTTCCATCACATAACAAAAACTTTAAAACCTCGGTATGCAGAAAAAGAGAGAAAGGCAAAACAACATTCATTATAAAAGCCCTCTCGAGCAAAGTTATTACAAAAAAGAAATAGTAATAAAAAAAGACGTCGCAAGGGTCAAATAAGAATTTATACAAAAGCAGCTAGATGTGTGACATCTCTTTATCCTCGTTTCAGCAGACTATCGATCTCTGATCTGCTCGGAAGATTAAGGTCCTTGCCAGTAATGACTATCTCGTCGATAACATCACTGGTAGCCCGCCATTTAGCAAACTCCTTCTCCAAACACGGAAGTGTCCAGGCGGGGAGTTCCCATCCTTTGTCCAGCATCTTCTTTAGAAACGCCACCATCGAGCGACTCTTCTCTACGCCCACAAGGGCTGCTTCTACCTCTTCGTGCTGAACTAGTGAAGCCTGAATCCGATCTAATCGTGGCTTGAACCACGCGATCATGCTGTTGAAGATTCTATCAGCAACACCTCGCAAAACCTCGTCATAAGACTCTTGAAGCTTTTCCTTTTCGACGAGGAACCTTTACGAATTTTCCTCGTTATGCTTCTCGAGCAACTCATTCTGCGCACGGAGAGCAGCCACCTGCTTACGAAGCCGGGAAGCTTCTGCCACCTCGCCTTCAAAGGCTTTGATAGTGCCTTCGAGCTGGGCGCACCTCTCTTTGAGAAGATGATTCTCCTTCTCTGCCCTTTCAAGTTCCTCGATTTTGGCGCAGGCGACGTCCAACATCATTGCTTCTTTGCAGTATGTCGCAAACACGGACATGTACTCTCCCAGGCCCTATACTGTAGCTTACCATTGAGAAAAGCACGCAACGAGACAAAATAAAGAACATAGAGAAAAGTATGCATACCTGAGCTATCAAATGGCTCGCCGAAGATATCGACTTTGCCAGCTTCAGCTCTCGTAGAGGTTTGCCCCATCTCGGGTTCTCCCTACACTTTCAGATCAATTTGGGGGTAAAGTCGCGATCGAGCATTGCCGGAGTAGCTCCATCCCACTTCATGCTAAAGTGATTAGGGTTGTAATCGAAGAACTCCTCTTCCTGCTTGGGCTCAGCGGGAGCTCTAGGACCGACACCGTCAGCATTCAGAGCATCTTGAGAAGGAGTAGGTCCCTCAGAATAAGCACATTAGGCTCCTCGGTCCTTTCATGACCTGCATCTCCCGTGTCTTGGACCCCGGGACTCTGAGGAATATCAGCCGGGGCGGCAAGCGAATTGCCTCAGCAGCATCGGAAGCACCCCCATCACCACCACCTTCGGCTCGAGAGGCAGTTTTCTAGGACGCTTCGCCCTGAGGACCCCTTGCAGCTTTCTCGGCCTGAGCTTGCCTCAATCTTTCCAGCGCAGCTGTCTTGGAGAAACTTCGAGAAAAGAAGAAAGCGAAGCGTTTTAAAAAAAACAAAAGATATCATCTCGGCATAACAAAGTAAAACACGAAAAGGAGTTTACCTCGCGAGAGTCTGATTCTCGGCGGCCAGCTCAGCATCGTCAGAATGCACCAAAACAAGTGGATCCCTGGGAGTCGTCCTCCTTCTCTTCGCAGAAGAGCTCGCAAGAGCATCCGCATTCGTTGATGGAGCCACCCTCATCTTCTTTCGGCCAGCCCCTTCGGGCTTCGGCTGCGAAGGCCTTTTAGTGGCTAAAAGACAAATGTGCCAATAAGACCTCGTCGCCAACAAACATACTAATCGGAAAATACTTCGATCTACCAACGCACCTGCTTTCGAAGGACCAGCTTTTTTCTTCGCCGGCTTCTTTTTCTCCTTAGCGGCCCCTTTTTTCTCCTTCTCGGACCATAACTGCCGGCTCAGGTCGCGCAGTTTCATGACATCAATGTCAAAACCAAACGGGTCATCTCGAAGACATATTGCCACTACCATAGCAAACAAACAGGGGGGGGGGGGGGGGGGGGGGGGGGGAACACATCAGCATCTGGGAAATTAACCAGAGAAAAGTAAAATAAAAATCAGTTCTTCTTACATGGCGTCGACCTCCAGGTCCTGAATAAATTAAGCTCGGAACTGCCAATTGACGCCTCGTTAATCTTCACATAGAATAAAAACCGGTCCCATTCGTGGACTTTACTTGTCGAGTCCCCACCGATAATTCTCTCCTTCATTGAAGTATAAAAATGGCGCCACCCATCGCAGTTTAACCTCCCTTTCTTCAGAATAGATATCCTCCCAAAGAAATCCTAGTTGAAAGGAACCATCACGGTACGAGCTACCGCCGTCAGACTGTTGAAATGGTGGATTACAGCGTGAGAGAGCTGCGCCACTGGCATCTTCCTCTGTTCGCAGTAACAAAGAAGCAGCAAAATGGGGAACTGAAGGCCGAAGTCCGCGAAGTGGCATTCATAAATACAAAAATAGCCCTCCGGCGGCGTGGTTACTCTCTCATGGACCTGAGGCAGTAGAAGCTCGACTCCCTCAGGAAAATGACATTTTGAGCGAAGCTCCTGGAGCCTTTCCGCAGCATCCAGGTCCTTCCGTCCTTAATCTGGTCATGTGCTTTGACATTGCGATCTTCTGCGGAAGACCTTCGATCCTAATTTCTGGTTCAAAGCCCTCGAAATTATCTGATTCCATCTCGGAATCTATGTCGGGATGACCCGGCGGGATCTTATCTCGGTAACCCGAGGATTCTCCAGAATTAGAAGAAGAAGAAGCCACTGGGCTAATCTAGGCCCGCCTGGAACGATCGGCGAGACAAATCTCGCCGTCATCAAAAGAGGAGTTCAGAGACGAAGTCGACATTTTAGAAAATTTATGGGTATATTACGAAAACGAATGGAAGATCAGCGAATAAGAAAGGAGGATTATCACGAAAATAGGAGAAAGTTGAAAATTTCTGAAGCAAGAAGACAAAGATTTTCTGGAGCAGGAAGACGAAGAGATAAAAAAAATAAGTAATAAAATCAGAAGGAAATATCAACAGTTTCCTAAAGGGACGCGTGTCAAGATTCACACAATCTCGTCGCTTGGCGAACCTTTCGCCTTTCCGCTTGAAAGCAAAACTATAAATTGGTCGGAATATTTAATAATTAATTCCAAGAAAGCGCCACGTGTCAGTTCAACTTAAAATCAGACCGAGCTGGCCATCGCGAAGAAACATTCTTGATGAGCTGACGCTTAATGCAAGATCGAACCCATTTAAAACTTCATGAAGTCTGCCGACCTGATTTATAATCAATCTCGCCGAACTGGGGAGGTTACTATTAGAGGGAAAATGAGCATATTTCCTAAAAGACTTTCTCTAGCAGTAACCTAAGCCCATCAAGATCAGGAGGATTGCACCGACCTAACTCGGATGAAAGGAAAATTTTTAAGGATAACATTCGAGGCCTGGAAACATCAGATCAACTCGAGAGATAAAGGAGAATTTCTATATTATTTGGAGAATAAGAGATATTTCCATATCGTAAATATGAAAATATTTACCAAAGGCAAAAAGAAAAAAGGGTTCGGAGCAACCGACCTCTTATCCCTATAAATAAGAAGACCCTGAAGCCAAGGAAAACAACTCATACAATCTAGAGAGCAGTAGAGCTAAAACCAGAGACTCTAACGCTTTCTAGTTTATTTAACAACCATTTTATTTTGTCTCGGCATAACCTCTTGGTTATCATATTCTTTGTAATCGCTTCGCTCATTGTTTTTAATAAAAAATCTTATTCTTCAAAATCCACAACTGTTAATCAAAATCGTAGTTATAATATGAATATATAACACGTCAGCATAAGAAAGCCGGACATCTCTCCCGTCTTTTTAATTAAAATTCACACTTTTTCCAAAATTGATATAACTCTACTACTGCCGAGCAAAAGGCGATTAGGTTCCCTCTCATCCTTGCTGCTGCCGTTGTTGTGGCCTCTCGCCGCCGACTAGAATTCCCGTCCTTCTCCCTCCTCTTCATTTCTTCTTCCATGGCAACCCTCGATCCTTCTGTCTTCCCCGACCTCAGATCCGAAATTGACAGGTGCACATGATTTGCTCGCGATTGTACCCTAATTAGAACATGTTGCTCATCGGCCCTCGCTTTGCCAGGATATATGTCCTGCTGAATATCTCTTTCCGGCTACCCTCGCGCTCCAGTCACTTCTGAATCTCCGGTGGTTGCGGCTGCTCCCACTCGTCTTGTGCCGTTCGTCTCTCCGAGGGTCCCTCTGGGTCACAGGTGGTCTCTCACTCTTGGGCTTCCAGCTGTGGCTCTTCTCTTCAGAATCTTAAGAAGGCCCCCTCCCCCTTCTTCCTTCTGAAGAATTGCCAAAAGGCTCCTCGTTACAAGTTGTTACATGTTCTTATATCTCTCTTTCGTTTTCTACACGTATGTGTTCCTACAATGCACTAAACACATCCATTTGTAGTTCTGATTATAATCTTGTTGCTTAGAGTGGTGGTTGACTAACAATGTCGATTTTTTAACAGTTACCACTACGAATAAATTACAGAATTTGAACTTTGTATTGAGAATGTTATGGTTTTCAGCAAAAATGGCAAGGCTGAAGCAACCCAAGGAAGAGGCTGAAACAGAGGTTTTCTGATCACAAAACCACGACCGAGCATGGATTCCAAAGGAAACTCGAAGAGGTAAAATTACAAAAACAAAAAATATGATTCTTTTTCACACTATATCTGAACACATTTAAATTACTTCCTGGACATTTTTGACTATGTTCAGTGGCTTGTTGAGTCTATATGTTTTCTATGATTACTATTGACTGTGTTTTCTATACATCTTCTATGAGCTGAAAGAGGAAGAAGCATAGTACAACCTGAAGTTCAAGATCACTAAGTCACCTCTATTGTGGATGTTAGATGGGCGTTTTGATGATGATTACTTTCAAGAATCACATGAATCCAGCCAATTCAGACAGGAGTATGAGATGCGGAAAATGAAGCAGGCAAGTGATATTCTATCTCCTTGCATTCTACTCTTTTGCTCACTTAAGCTATGGTGGTATATATATGACCTGTTTACGTGAGTATATATCAGGAACAAGGTCTGGACATGATCTCCGAAGGTTTAGATGCTTTGAAGAACATGGCATCTCATATGAACGAGGTGAGTTTGTTAAAACGCAGCTCTTAATCCACTTCCCTTATTAACTACTTAGGCTGATGACATTTGTATATTGTATTGTTGTTCCTCCGGAAAACTGTATTTAACAACTCAAAGACTTTCTTGCTCAAATTCATCCTAGAACTCAAGTTGCATATGAAAAGTTTGTTACTATTAAGAAAACTTGGAAAGATGATAGATACAAGAAACAAACTACTAGGCATACTCATTGTCGGTATTGTAAACCTCTAAGAATTTTCTGCTTTTAAGGGATTTTGAATAAATGGGTCCTCACTTTGGTTTATGTACATGTGACAGAAAAGGATTGTTTTCAAAGTTTGCATTACGATAGAATGACTAATAAATCTCATGAATTATCTTCAATCAGTTTCGCTTTTGTTTTTCTTTTCTTTGTTATCTATTTCCTGGCATGTAGTGTGTATAAACATCTCTACGTATCTAGGAAATGATTGGGGAAAGTTCTCATGTTCCTTGGGTACTTTCTAACACAAGTTATTTAAAGCAAACTCACAACCAGCTATATCTGTCAGCAACTTGATTGGTGAGTAGAAAAGAATTGAATCTAGAGAATTTAGACGGATTTAATAAAAGAAGATTTGTTTTGAAACAGGTTTAATAAAAGAAAACTTAATCATGTAAATTAAGTTTCTTAGTCTTTTGTGGGCAGCGGAGACTATGTTGAACAACCAAATCAAAAGATTCATTTATGCCCTGGAAGCTGCTGAATCCGTCTTGCTAATAGAGTTTTTGAGATTCTGCGTTCCTGAATGGTTTTTTGGCGTTGCCGTCCCAAAATAGAGTGCAAGTGTCCATGGACCTTGTCAATCGTATATAGCTGCAAGTTTTCACTATCCCTTATGGAGGTCTTTATTGGTGAGAGAGTTTTTCTGTGGAATGGTCGTGTATATTTTGCTAATGACCCTGGATCGTTTTTTGTTTGTATGTAGTTTGGTCGTGGACTTTGATATTTTAACCCTCTCTTAACTTTGTAAAGCAGATGACCAAAAATCCAATGCAAATTACACTCGTCAAGATTTAAGTTACAAGAATTCAAGAACAACTTGCAAATGTTTTGGAATCAAGCTTTACTTATATACTCTCGACTATCGACCATTAAACATTAGATTGGGACAAATCACTAATGTGAACTTTCCAAGAACATCAACATGTAAAGTTGGTAATGTAGACATCTAATATCAAAGTTAGATGATTTTTCATAGAAAAGTATTAAATTGAATAAATATTTTATGTTTTATGAATAGAAATAATTTATTTGATTACACTAAAAAATCTTATTTTTAAACATTAAAAATAGAATAACTCACATCGCGCGAATACTGGCCTAGTCTTTATTAACAAACACTTGATTCTTTCAATTTCATCTCGTGGTGGCTTATGGTCTTCCATGTCACCACCAAATAGAGATGAACATTATGATCTATAGACATGATGTTCTACCCTAAACCTCAAAAAACCCATTCTCATGAGTACCTGCAACTAGTGGGACGCATCTAACTTGAGCGCCAGAAAACTTTCCCTGATGTTTAGATTGATTTTTTTTGAAGTTTTGAAACGACACAAATAAAACGTGACTTTCCTTTATTGATGATTCGGTTAAACAAGACATTTTGTTATATAAAAATATTATAAAACTATTTTAAAAACAAAATAGTCTATATAAAAATCTAGTTTTCAAAAGTTTTAGGTCTTTCAAAACATATTAATATAATAAATTACTTCATTCAAGAAAAATGACTGATTGTTTTTTGAGTTCATAATTCAATTGTTTTCAACAATAGTTTAGAAATACAAAAAGCTCAATAAAAGAAAGTTTAGATAAAATGTGATATGCATCATATTTTGATAAGAGAAAGATTTAGGAAAATTCCCTTCTACAAAATTAAGATAAGCCAAAAATATAATGGTATCACTATAGTTTTGATATATTCTTAAAAACATTTAGTAAAACTCCATGCATAACATTTTTGGAGGTGGATGGGTCATCTATCTTCGATATTGATGCTTTGATGACAATCAATACTACAACAACTGTGAGATCATTCTGAGCCAAAAATAAACAAAAATATTATTAGTCACTTTAGCATGAAAAATAACTTTACATTTAACAAAGAAAATAAAATATTTTTTAGCTAATAAACATTAGGATTCTGGGTTAATATTTTTTGCACTAATTAGATGTATAAGGTATTAGGTGCCACAATGGTATTGTAGAGAAACAAAATAAACTTTGATATTGAAAAGTATACAAAAAAGTATAAAAATAAAAGGTATTAAAGCAAAATTATGTTTAGGTTTTAATTCATCAGTGAAAATGCTTAGCTAATATTAGTAAGCTATACGATTAAACAATTAGAAATCATAGTAAATGATCAACAATACTTGTTAGAATATTTCTACATCTAAACTAAATTTTAGTTTGCTACTTCTTTAAAGGATATGAAATTCCTAAAAAATGATACAATACTTTGCCAAATTGTATGAGTTTATGAAAACCTAAATAACAGCAAATTGCTTAACATTTCCCTAAATAACAATGTAATAGATTTTTTTATGTTAGACTTCGACGTTATAGTATTTGATATATAATAGATTCCATATTATTATCGAACATAATGTAAAATTGAATTATTAAACAAAAATATTGGATCTCACACATCTGTTTTATCATTTGCTAAAACCAACAATATTTCATATTTTAAAATGTCAAATATACCAAATCATAGATATTCAAAAGTATGTACACACCAAATTAAATACCAAAAAAATGGTGAAGAAAAAAAAACAATTTAACTAACCTTAAATGATGAACCTTTCCGGAATAGATTGTTTACGCCTTGATTTTAATGTTTTTTTTCCTTCTGATTGTCAGGAAGACCACCAACTCTCGAAAGTGTCTTTTCTTCAAGAAGAACTAGTGCATTAACCGCAATAATGTTTTCAGATTGTTTGCTTTCAACTTCTCCTATATAAATTTCCGGAACCAATTGCATACACTTGGACATACATGTGTGTTTTATCTTCAGAATGTCAACAAGATCACCAACTCTTAAAATCATCTTTTCCAAAAGAAGATTAATCTCTTGATTTTGCTGCTCGTATAAATCATGATGAGTGAACTTCCTCAGCTTCTTATTTTCAGTATTATAGACCCTTTGCACAATAAAACCATAGGACTTGCTTATTCTTTGGCACAAAATACACAGAGCAATCGTCCTTCACAGATTCTGCAAACACTTTGGGACTTGCATATTCTCTGGCACAAAATACACAGAGCAATCATCTTTCACAGATTCTGCAAACACTTCATCGCGATGGAAACTGTAGAAGATGTCTCTTGAGTCTTTGGATTTCCAGTTTCTAACATATTTTTTATCCACATCTTCTGGACGATAAAACCATTAGACTTCCACATATCCTTCCTTACCTTGTACATAAATATCCTGTCGAAAAATGGTTTGATTATGATAATCAAAAGCTGAAAATAATGTAAAAAGTTTTTTCTTCTACAATTCTACCTTTATGATTGCAACATAAGGGTTTTTTGATGCATCTTCTGGAAATTTAGCACTGAGTCCTCCTATCGCATAATAAAATATAATATAAATTTAATGTAAATAGCCATAGTAATACTCTAGAAGCGATTAAATTCCTAAAAAGAAAGTTTTGGTTTATTGCGTCATTTTGAATTTTCTCACAATATTAATATTCTAGTGAAGCCTTGTGTGTGGCACAAGCTAACTCAGATATCATATATAAACAATCATATAAATTAAAGGTTATAGATTACTTTTTATTGTTATATATTGTAGTATAGCTGGTGACTAATAATTAATTTTTCCATGTCTAAAATTATAGAAAATAATTTCTCTATTATTATATATTTTTGTGTTTTGTTTATTTTATTTTGTATTTGGAAACAAGTTATAAAAACTAAAAAAAATTATAATATATAGTCTAAACATTGAAATTAGAATCATCTTAAAACAAAACAAAACTTACCAGTCCATATTTCCACCATGAAATTTAAATCTCTCGTAATGACATTTCTCATTTCTTTGCTCATTAGTAATCTTAATCACTTTGCCAATCGGGCGTGCACAATGCTCTGGTTTCCACTCTAACTCATTTTCCTTGATTATTGATGATTCTTCAGCATTTTCCTTCTTTTGTTTTCTTTACTTCATCTCCATTTCTTTGGTACTCAACTTCACAACTTCTAACCTTCACAATTGAATATTTATTAATTAACACTTGATTCAATTGCTTACTCAACTTTATTTGTATTAAGAATGATTAGAAAAAAGAATAACAAATGTTAACATCAATCCAATAACATAATATTATACTATAAATATATTATAAAACGAACTATAGTTTGAGAATGATAGGATAACTTGATATAGAGATATAACTCATTTTAAAATTTATATATAGCATTACAGTAAAACTGAATTAGAAACAAAACTAACTTATTGTAATTTAGGTTTCTAAAATACCCAGAAATACCTAAAGTATATAAGTATAATGATACTTATTGTCCTAGTATATGCTAATGTTAATGTTAGGGTAATGATACTTGTGATACTTTTTCATGGCTACTTTTAGGGTAATGATAATTATATATGCTATTCATTCATTCTAAACATATTTTTCTAACATATTAGATAAATACATGAATAAATCAGGAAACCTAAAAAATTGATTACTGATAAACTCTACAAAAGAATAAATTATCGTTATCCAGAGAGAAAATAAATATTTAAAAGATCCAAAAACTTATACATGATGTTTGCCCTTGCAATACAAGTTTTTGTCTTAGCTTTTGAATTCACAATCCAGAGATATATACTCCTGTAGATCTAGATAGAATAAATCTTAGGCTATGTTTTCTGTTATATTTTGAGAGTTTTTTTACCTGTTTCAGAATCGTATGAATGCATTTTGATATACATACTAGATTTTATTTATCAATAAATTAGTTGAAAATATTTTCGAAGTCAAAGATATTATAAAGTTACTATGTTGATATTAGATTTTATCTATAAATGAACTTTCAAAATCAAAGTTCATATACATGTAATTGCAATATAATAGAAATGTTTAGTTGTACTATATTATATAAAAACGACTTTTTAAAACTGCATAGCGAGTCATTAAATGTAGAAAGCTACCATTTTAACCTTCCTTTCTTACAGCGTAAACATATTTTCTCTAATATTGAATAATCATAATAATAACTTAAATAATCTTAATATTGAGAAAAACTTCAAGAAAAGCCTCCATTGATGCAAAACTTATGGTATCAAAAATCTGTACAATCTTCAAAATACTATCTTTTAGATCATATTTATCAAAAACATCGAACATTAATAGACTACGAATATATGAAATTTAACAAAAAAAACTTTAAATAAAGTGTGGCATGCATCATATTTTGAAATAAAACATTAAAAAAAATCGTGCCTTGAAAAATTAAGATAAATTAAGAAAATCAAGGTAGCACTAAAATTTTAGTATCTTATTCAAACATTAAGATAATCTCAACGCATAATACATTTGGAAGTGGACGTATCATATATCTTCATTATTGAATTTTTGCTTAGAATCAATAGTACTACAATCGTGTGACCTTCAGAGCAAAGAAAACAAAAACATTAGTCACTTTAGCCTATAAAACCATTTAATATTTAATGTAAATATAAGGTATTTTTATGATTGTAAACAATAAAATTCTGGTTTAATACTTTTCTTACTAATTATTATATATTTTACTAAAATATATAAGGTTTTTTGTTCCACCATGATATTGTAGACAAATAAAATAAACTTTCGAACTAAAAAGTATGCGAATAAAGTCTGAAAAAAAAAAATTTAGATAAGCTAATATTCAAGTTATTATTAATCATTGAGAAAGTGTTCAGTTTACATTTGTAAGATAAGCTAATGCAATAGATTATTTATTGGTGGTTTGTAACTCTACGATATTTTACATATTGCTGTTTATATATTATACTCAAACAAAATGTAAAGTTCAATCATCAAACATAAATATCGAATCTCACATATTCATAACTCTATTATCAATTTCAAA